CGATCTTCCCTCTGTCCGTGCCGTGTCCCTCCCCCATTCTCCCTCCGTCCGTGTTCTATGGTGCCTTCTTGTGTACCGTGTGAACTGTCGCCTTTAAACTTCGGGAGTCTGGCTGGATGCCTCGGTAAATGTCCCGGAAACCTTAATGCTACAAGTGGGAGGCGCGGTCAAAGGTCAAGGTCAGAGGTGCCGCAGCTGCCCGCCACCTGAAGGTCAAGGTCAGAGGATGCCACAGCTGTGCACCGCCACGTTGTTAAAAAGAAACTGGCGGTCCGGGATTCGGTGAAATAACACGATCCCCTTTCTAATGCAACCTGTCTTTACTCTTCATGCAATGCAATATTGACAGTTTACAGCGTCACAATTCCAGCGCTCTAGTACCATTAATAACACCGGTATTACCGTTTCCTCGGACAATTGAGCATCGGGCTTGATAGGTTTGGAGGGTTGCCAAACCTCTTGTCACGCTTCTGGTGTGGCAAAACCCACATCAGATTTGACTTCAGATCGTGAGAGCGGAGTGAAGATACCCAATGTTTAGGCTGATGGCCGGCCACCCTCGGCAACGTCGCCACCAAGTGAGGTTGGTGTTGGAGAGTGTGAGCTTTGGTGGGTGGGAAGGGAACTGTCAGGGGGAAAGCGCCAAGTCATTACGACTATATAGCACTGGGAAGGGGATCAGGATAAGGATTTGGGATGGGACGGGGGGAAAGGAATGGTGCCCCAACCACTTGGACGGTCGGGGATTGAACGCCGACCTGCATGAAGCGAGACCGTCGCTCTACCGTCCAACCCAAGTGTGTGGGTGGTGGGTGAACAGTGTGTTGCTTATGTCAGGATTGTTGCTGCTGCTCTCAGTGTTAAGGTTATTATGTCTTGACTGTGTTAGAACAACATGTGTTGCTGCTGCTGCTGATGTTCCTACTATAAGGTTCCTACTGATGTTGCTACTGCTGGTACTCTTGCTGCTAATACAGCTGCTGTTGATGCTGCTGCTGTTGATGCTGCTGAATGAATAAAATAATCGTTTAAAGATGATCTAGATAAGCTTTTGAAATGAACAACATATTGGAATATCATAAATGTTAGAAAATATAGGCCTTTGAGCTTTTGGCAATAATAATAATATTGTCCAGCTGTTATCTGGTAATGTTTAAATTGTGAGGTGTGAATGCGAGAAAGATCTGGGAGACATCATTAGTGGGGGACCATGAACTAAAAACTAAAATCCATAACTACACAGAATAAGTAGGATACTGGGCTTTATTTCTACAAGTGCTAGCTAGTAATAGGACATAATATTTTTCAGCTTCTGAAGGATGACAACTCATCCCAGGAATATAAATATTCCTTAGGGAGAGAGATTAAAAAGCTTAACTAAAGTCTCTTTAGAAGGGCGAAGAGTAAAGAGTGGCAGGATTGAAGTATAAAATTAATAAAACCACACAACAGAAGGAATATTAATAAGGATTTAAATGCATGAACCAAATTTAACGCGAAACAATGGATATAAATTAGGTAAGTTTAGATTTTGTAAAGATTTGGGTTAATACTGGTTTGGAAACAAGGTTGTACACTTATGGAACCAATTACCAGACTGTATAATAGACGTAGGATTGTTTCAAGCTTAGGTTACTTATATATTGAGTCTGGGTATAAATAGCTGCCTCGCATGGGTCAATAGGCCTTCTGAAGTTGTTTTTATTCTGATGAAATTATTCTTACCGCTATTGCTTCTGGTGATGTTGGTATCGGTATTCATTAATTACGCTAGTGTTAAAACTCTCACATCACCCATCAACACGCCGCCACCACAAGTCCACTACGGGCTTACCATAGCCTCTGCTGCTTCAAACTTTTGTTCTCAGTAGTTGAATCTTAAACTACAACAGCAGCCACCGCCACCCTACTCGCATCACCCACCACCGCCACCCTACTCGCATCACCCACCACCGCCACCCTACTCGCATCACCCACCACCGCCCACCCTACTCGCATCACCCACCACCGCCCACCCTACTCGCATCACCCACCACCGCCCACCCTACTCGCATCACCCACCACCGCCACCCTACTCGCATCACCCACCACCGCCACCCTACTCGCATCACCCACCACCGCCACCCTACTCGCATCACCCCCCACCGCCACCCTACTCGCATCACCCACCACCGCCACCCTACTCGCATCACCCACCACCGCCACCCTACTCGCATCACCCACCACCGCCCACCACACTCGCATCACCCACCACCGCCCACCACACTCGCATCACCCACCACCGCCACCCTTCTCGCATCACCCACCACCGCTCACCACACTCGCATCACCCACCACCGCCACCCTACTCGCATCACCCACCACCGCCCACCACACTCGCATCACCCACCACCGCCCACCACACTCGCATCGCCCACCACCCCCACCCGCTCGCATCGCCCACCACCGCCCACCCCGCTCGCATCGCCCACCACCGCCCACCCCGCTCGCACCGCCCACCACCGCCCACCCCGCTCGCACCGCCCACCACCGCCCACCCCACTCGCATCGCCCACCACCGCCCACCCCACTCGCGTCACCCACCACCGCCCACCCCGCCCACCCCACTCGCGTCGCACCCCACCACCGCCCACCCTACTCGCATCACCCACCACACCCCGCATCACCCACCAGCACCACCCTACTCGCACCACCCACCAGCACTCGCCACCACCATGAAACATATGTAGTAGATAGAATAGAGGAAAAATAGATTGGTTAGAATGGCGGGCTCCCAGAGCTAATAGCTTGTTTCTGCAGACACAGATAGTAAAAAAAAAAAAAATAGTAAATACACACCAAGGCCACCCCCCCCCCCCCTCCTGAAAATCCTGTGTTCAATTCCTACAGTAGGACAAACTGTTGGCATGTTTCTTTTCACCTTATGCCTTTGTTCTCCTAGCAATAAATAGGCTCCCAGAAGGAAGGTAATTGTTGGGGGTTGCATTCTGGGGAAGGTCTGTAGTTGGCCTTAAGGGGGAGACCTCCATAATCCTGAGTACAGTACTGTTACAGGCTTCCTGTTCCGGACAATGAGGAAAATGTGATCACAAGTAGATTTAGTACAGTCTATTATATTACTGTAAAAGATAATCAAATATTTAAAAAATTGTCATTACTGTATAAGATGTTCAAATTCAGATGGACACATACTGTACCTGGTTTGAGATGTGGATCCAGATTCATCACACACAACCATTTTCTTGATTTAGATTTTTTATTAATTTTAACCCCAAGAGACATAATTGACAAGCAGCTCGTTAAACTTGTTACTGGTGTGAGATCTGAATAGTACTGTAGTTTGAGCTTCACTGTAGAATGCAAGTGAACTTTCTACAACTGCCGGGAGATTATTGGTGGCTCTTGTTCAGCAGTTAAGGATATATATATATACATTTGTACTGGATATCTATTAGTAATTCACAAAGGTTCACATACTTGGAGATGGGCATTGCACTGTGTTAATTTCTCCTTTCTGAAAAATGTTCAGTGTTTTCCTGCATTTATTCAAAACTTTTCATGGAAAGTACAATTCAGAATTAATATAAGCATTTGTAAAATTGTAAGACTAACTCAGCATGTGCTAATTATGGTACTGTAGTTCCATTTTAATTTTCTCTCGACGGTGAGCCAAGAACTGAACATGCCGTAAGTGTATATAAACATTTTGATACATACCTATCTTGTGGCTACCTCGTGGTGGTTCCGAGGTTCAATGTTCCCGCAGCCCAGTCTCTGAACGGGCGTCCTGGTTGGTCGTCTCCTCAACCAGGCAGTTGAATACTGCTGCTTGCAGCCTGATGTATGAATCACAGCCTGGATGGAGGTATTTATCGAGTTCTCTCTTGAACACTGTGAGAGGCCAGCTAGTTCTGCCCCTTGTGTGTAGCAGAAGTGTTGAAAAGTCTTGGGCCTTTGATGTTAATAGAGTTCTCCCTCTTTCCTCACATCTAGATTAGTCAATAGAGTATCTGAAAGCCACTCTTTGTGATATACAACACCTTAGATATTGTACAGCAGGTGCTTTGCTGGTTCTAAGGGCCACACACACAATGTTTTAATCTTATTCCTAGAAAATACTTCCCTCCACAAGGAATGTGTTCCTGTGCACATTTTAGTAGTTGAGTTAAGCAAATAGACATGGAGGTCAAATAGTTCTTGGCAATGAACAAGTTATTGTGTTGATTAAGCATGTCTTGATCAACTTGGACCTTTCAAGGCATTCTCTCTCTTTGATTTGGGGATTTCCTTCCAGGGTACTGTATTTGGACAGTTCAGGGAAATAAAAAGTTGTGTATTTCCCTGATCTTTTCCTCAGATACCATGCTGGTGAGAGATTGTGCTTGCTTGTTTACACATAGGTCACACTTACAAAACACACACATACCTGCTCACTGGAGACCCTGCACTCAGCTGTGGCAGTTATGGTGTTCCCTTTAGAGTGCAGCACTTTCAATATGGTCTCCCACTCTGGGATATTATTAGGCACAAATATCTCTTGTGATTATTGAGTATGTTGGGAATACTGTACTGTACACGTACAGTATAGTATATACTTCCACAACATGAGTGATGTTACTTCTCCCGGTTAGAGACTATATTTTATTGAAGAGGCTGGGCTGTTTCTATAAATTTTGCTTTGTTTTAACTTCATTTAATATTTGCTTTAAAATGCATGTTTTACTTTCAAGAGTGCAGTAATATCTTGACTTATATTTTCATTATTTAGTTTTAATGTTTGATCATATGTTTACATTATATTCTAATGTATTTTGTATATGTACAGTATTTGGCATTTGGCAAAATTATTTCTTCATTAACCACATTAAACATCATCACATGGAATCCCTTTGATACTCCTAGAAAACTGCTTCATTAGACTAAATGTAAAGGGATTTGATTAGAGTAATAAAAACTAATGCTGTATGAGTTTTTATTATCTCTGTACTGATTATTTGCAGGGTGTGTCAAGGGTTGAGGGCTCCGGGCGGGGAGGGACATGAGGTCATCGGTGAGCGTTATCCTCTCCAACCCTCCGCCCGACACCACCATGAGTTACCCAGACTACGGCACCAGTCCCCACCACCATCAGACCCTCCTGGTGCTTGTCAGACAAGTGGGTAAGTCTTCATTAAATTTTTTTGGTGTAATTTTCTTTTTATTATGTAAAATCACAGGACTTTAAGGCTAGAGGCTGTTTTACTAAATATTTCTCTTAACAAAAATTAAGGCTCAATGCTGTATTCATAAATATTAAATTCTGGTGTTTCTCTTAAATTTACATTCAGAAGGTTATTGACATGACATTCACACTCTTCAGAGAAGTCCTGCCGAATACATTGAGTATAGGGAACACATAATTTTCTCCGCCTCTGATATGGCTAAAACTCAAAATAGATTGCTGTACCAACAAATGCTGTGCAAATTAATATTAAAGGTGCTGCATATAGGAAAAATAAGATATATTGACCTCCAAACGTTCCCTTTTTAACACACTACTGAATAAAGTATTATTTTAGGAATTAATATTTAATGCTCCCACCACCTTCCATCTACAAATAGTGCTGTACATATTGAAGCCAAGAATGATTGGGTTGGACTGGCTATGCACATTGTTTTCATTAAATAATACTGTTTAATTGAAAAGTTTGCTACATAAAAAAAGAATGCTGCATATGTTGGGAGCCCAACACACTGCTGAGAAAACTGTTCGTGATAGCATCCACTAATCCATGTCAAGTGATGCTAAACCCCACTTACCATTAAAATTAACTCATGCATTTTGTGGTTACATATAAAAGTGCTTACCTGCATTCTGCCAAAGCCACAATCTTTAATGCAGTGTAAATTGAAGGCTGCCTTTGTTTTCTATGGACCACTGGGAAACATGGTTTATACCAGTTTGGAGGTTTGCTCTTACTCTCTGTGGATGCTATTCTAATAGTGTCATCTGCAAAGGATGATGAAGTATGGGTTTGTCCTTGTCTGTCAGAGTTTGTGTTCCATTTCACTGTGGTCACCATTGTCAAAACAATCACAATTTGTGTATGCATTGTACCATGTTGGGTGAAAATTAGGTTAGTGTCACATCTTCTATCACTGGTGCATTTCTTTGGTCACCTTGTAGCTGGACATTCATTCAAAATGGTGTTTCTGATCAACCCTTCAGTAGCTTTCCATAACTTCAGCATTAGGCACTTCTGGTCAGACTAGCCAATCCCTAGATACATTTCACCTACCTGGAATAAGGGACCTAAAATATGATCTCTTGCCTACTAAGAGAACCTGTCTGTAAAGAGATTCAACTCCATCTAGCATATTTTCCATTCCTTAGCCTTGAAACCTCATTTTCAAAGGAAAAAGGTCCCATATTAGTGAACGAAAACCTGGGAATCTCAAAATTAAATTGAACCATAGAATTTGGTTTTAAATACGTATTCTCAATGGCTTTTCCAAGGCCCCTTGTAATGTTGCACCCATGTACAAAAATAATTGGAAACATAATTAGAACCATATTAAAGGTTTATATTTGTAAAAAAAAAAAAAAAAGAAGAAAAAAAAAATACTAAAAAATGCCCTTAAATTTTTTAAATGCCCAAGAAAAAAGAAACATCCAATATACCTTCCCCCCAAAATGCCAGACAAAAATTATTAAAAATATGATTGGAGCTATATTAAGAGTTTCAATTTATATTTAATAGTTACCCCACACTATGGGCTGATTTCATTGAACCAAATTATAATTTCAACCCATCATGTGAAGGGCAACAACCAAGAGAACCTCTCTGTAAAGAGATTTAACAAAACCCCTGCAATTGGAAATAAAAAAAGAATCATAGAATTTAGTTTTAAATATTCTGTGGCTTTCCCAAGGTCCCAACTATTTTTTGTAATGTTGCCTCCATCAGTGAACTCTGTCACAACCACCTAAGCAAATCAACACGTTCCCTGCTTCAGTTAACTTTAACTGCTTCAGCTTATTGAATTGGGTGAATAAATCTGGCATGGAAAGTGCATTCCAACCTGAGATTCTGCAAATCGAGGTTTGTTGAATTGAGGTTCTACCATGTATAAGGGCTCGACAAGCTGGTAGAGGGAGAGCCAGCTTTTGGGTAAGCTTATACAGTAGATAGGTTGACAACTTGTTGAGAAGTCAACTTGTAAATGTTTGCTCACCTGATTTATGGATCTTGTCTATGTAGCCTACACACATCCAGCTCACCAACTCTCAAAGAATTTCCCTCTATTACAATCTTGTGATTCAAATCACTTGTACTGTCCTGTCTTGAGTACTGCTCAGTACTCACTTTTCCCTTCAAAGCAGGAGAGATTGCTAAAATAGAGGAAATACAGAGAACATAGACACAATAAAGCACCAAAATTATTGGGATCGTCTCAAAGCTCTCCAAATGTACTTGCTATAAAGGAGATGAGAGAGAGATAAAATAATATACAGGTGGAAAATACTGGAGGGCCAGGTCCCAAATCTACACAGTAAAATAACAACATACTGGAGTGAACGATATGGAAGAAAATGGAGCCAGTAAAGAGCAGGGGTGCCATAGGCACAATCAGAGAACTCTGTATAAACATCAGCAGCCCATGGTTGTTAAACATCCTCCCAGCGAGTGTAAGAAATATTGCCGGAACAACCGTGGACATCTTCAAGAGAAAACTAGATAATTTTCTTAAAGAAGTGCCAGACCAACCGGGATGTGGTGGATATATGGGCCTGCGGGCTGCTCCAAGAGACAGCCTAGTGGACCACGCTCTCACAAGTTGAGCCTGGCCCAAGGCCAGGCTTGGGGAATAGATCAACTCCCAGAACTGTATCAAGCAGGTAATCTGTATGCAAGCTTGTGGAGAGAGGCGATAGTGAGAAACGTGTCCCATTACAAGAGTCCCGCCCAGGTCAATCTGCTGACCCCTAGGTGTTAATGCCAGTCCCGGAGAATGGGGGAGAAAGCAAGGGGCAAAGAAAGGGAGAAAGAAAAGGAAGAGAAGAAAAGGGGAAAGGAGTTGAAGGAATAGTGAAAAGAGCTAGCAAGAAAATGGGTTTGTTTGCAACTTGCTCTTGCTCCTTTTGATCACAGTGTACTGGGTGATCACATTATCACTCGAACCTTATACTTGTAATAGTAAGTTCCAGGAGAGTGTCTGGCAAGGATGGAAATTGTATACTTACTCATCGAGAAGGTGCTAACAAAAAGCATTCAATTGGAAAATGTTTACACATTGTGGCACCTTGGCACACCATCCTGGGCTGACCGTGGTGACCACAGCCACAGAAAAAAGGGAAGGTAGAGAGGGACGAACAGAGAAGGGGAGGGAGAAACAGATGGGGAGAGAGGGATTTTATTTTTTATTTATTTATTTATTTTATTTATTTATTTATATTTTTATTTTATTTACTTATTTATTTATTTATTTATTTATTTATTTATACAAAGCTCTTACATTCTTGTACAGCCACTAGCATGCATAGAGTTTTGGACAAGTTCTCAATTCTAATTTTCCCCAGAATACGACTCGCCAGATTGTTAAACAACAATTTACCCATTCACTGCTGGGTGAACAGAGGCTACAGTTAAGGATTTGTGCCAAGTACAATAAATCCTCTCCTGCTAGGATACAAACCCATGCCAAAGCGCTTGCGAAACACCAGGCGAGTGTGTTTCCACTTCCCCACGGCGACTGTGGCAAAGTGTGGCGGGGATGAACAGAGAAAGGGAGAATAGAGAATGGAGATTTGAGGGAGGAGAAAGATAATTCCTTGAAAGAATATTATAAAATTATTTCACAGCAGAATTTCTCTCTGGCTGTCCCTTCTTGTCCCACTATAGTTGAAGTACAATTTTGAAACCAGCTGCTGACTCTGGAGTGTAGTTTGTCTGAGGGCTGCTTCTAGGTTCATATGTTGTCCTCAAGCTTCATTTACTGTAATATGTAAGTTTAATAAAGAAGTACAGTAGGGCAGATAATATTACATGATAATTGCAGGTACTCGTGTATCATGTAGTATGAATCAAAATGTAAATTTTGAACCTTTATATATTTCATTGAATTAGTTGTTTTATTGATTATCATATAATTTTCAGGGTCCCTATTAAAGAGTCGTTCATTCCACAAACTCTACGATCGTATTAGTCGTGTCGGTCACGTTAAGGTAAGTGATTCTAACGGGTCCCAACGCCCCGTGTGGGTCTCCTATCGACGAGAATACCCTGTGGAGAACAATGACTGGGGAGACTTCCAAACACACCGACGAGTTCTTGGCATAATAACAATAGGTAAAGCTCCTTATTAGTTTTTTTTAATAAGATGGTTTAACATTCTGCCTAACCACAGTCTGTATATAGTTATATATATATATACTAAGGTTTTCTAGGCATTCTTTCCTCTTGCTTGAATGGGAATCATCTTAGTTTTTCTACAAAAAAAAAAAATGTGCCTTGTAAATTGAAATACAGTACAGTATATTTGTCAAGTATTTTCCCTCTGATTTTTTTGTAATGTTCTGTTTGTTTCTTTTATCAGGTCAAGTGGGTAGTCAGAGCGACCTTAATGACATTTGTAAACAGCATGAAAGTCTCAAAGTTAAATACTCATCTACGTTGTATGACTCTCGATGTATTATTTTGGGTCTCAACCCTGATGGCACTATGTATGAAGCAGACTCCCGTGGGCCTTCTCGGGGAACCTCTCCAGAACCTAATGGGGTCCTGGAATCTGGTACCCACCCTGTGGCTATTAATGGACATACCCACCCAGCACATGTTAAGAAGATTTCTGCAGGCAGTACTGATAGAGACAGTGGTGTATATGAGACAGTTAACAGTGAGGATAAGCCCACAGATTCTGACAGCCACTCTGATAGTCCACAGGGCCTCTCGGAAGGCTTAACGGATATGAAAATTGATTCAAATCATGTTAATGGGTCAGACTCGGGAAGCGAAAGTACAAGTGAAGTTGGGTGTTGTGATAAAATAGATTCTCCACGGGATTTAACTGCAGATTCTGCCCCCGATTCGGTTCATGATTCGGCTCACGACACCAGCCAGTCCTCCATCAGTACCTCGGCATCCCATTCATCAAGGGTGTCCCTCCAGCCTCCTTCTAATTTTAAAACCCGAGCTCTCTTCTATCCAACTAGTGATCATGCTGTGAATATTGAAAGTCAGCTACAAGAGTTTGTTAGTTCTTTATTTTGGGTACTTGAGTCAAAGCGCCTTGATAAAAGTCAAGAAAAATTGGAACGACCTCCACTTCTCTGTGCTCCTTTTGAACGCAAGGTTAGTGCAAACTTGTCAAACTAAACAATTAGTATTGCCATAATATCTTAATATTTTCATACAGAATGTATGCTTTTGGGAATTCTCTTCATACTTAAAGCAAGGTGATAAATACAGTGGCACCTCCAAAATTCAGAGGTTCCAGATATGATTTAGATTTGAATGAAATAAACAAAATTTTTAACCTTGCTCTCTCTCTTTGGCTATCTCATAATTTACAGTGTTTTCTTGTTCCAAGTGATACATACCTGGTACATGTTTCTGTACACAGTATTTAGACAATATACAAACAATGATTTTATATACATATAAATAATAAAGCTGCTCTTAAAACCTTAAATTCTTAACGCTCTTAAATCTCTTTAAAACTCTTAAAAATGTTACTGTAACAATTTAACATGGTTACATTTTGCAGCACAGGCAGTTACAGTATGGTACTGAAAAGTGTAGGTCTCCATAGTCAGTAAGACTACTTACACTGTTCTGTAACTGCAGGTGGAATTTCATTGACAGCTGAAAGGAGACTGTCTTTGCTCTCAATGTTGATTAAATGAGAAAAATTAAATACAAAAATGACTCAAAAATTGATTTGCATACAATTAGAATTAGCCTATTTATGACACACTTGTAGAATCCCTATGTACCTGGGAGTTCCGCTGAGCCAAAGTTGAGAAATGTTGGTCTAAATTTAAATTGGTTCATATATACTGTATATAAAAATAAATTTTCATTAATACTGTTCATTATTTATTACTGGTTATTTACATTGGGCTATAATACTTGCTAATACTGTACTTCATGATGGAACTTTACTTGAATATCTTTTAGGATTTTATTGGTTTGGACATGGATTCACGCACCAATAAGAAGCGGTGTGTAGGCCGGTTAAGAAAACAGCTAGCTGACCTGACACTACAAGCAAGTTTACCTACAGAGGCTATCATGCATTACGGTTTTGCTGCGGACACTCTCCGAAACTGTAATGATTGGCTTTGGCTTGCTGGTGAGTTTGTACACAACACTGCAACAAAGTAAACAATCAAGTTTGTGAAATGTGTGATGAAAGCATATTGATGAGAGAGAAGAACATAAATTTAAAGACAATGTATGGGACAGTACTGTATAAATAAAAATATATAAATTGGACCAAGGGCAAATTTCTATAATTGGGTCAGTTATGTAGACACATGGGAATGCACAGCATATAGTGAATATTTTAAAATAAAATTAATGGTGCATTATCACAAGACTCCAATGTGCCACACATTGAGCCCCGACAAGGTATATCCCACTTCAAGGTAAATTTGTCTGACAACATTGCATGGTCAGTCATAACAAGAAAAAGCACTTCATTATATTTCCTTAAATTGGAGTGTAATTTAGGGGTGGGTAATGGTTAAAAGGGATGACTTGAGTGGTGTGTCAACAGTAAATGATTAATGTTTACAGTTAATATTGTCAATGTTGGTTTAAAGTTAATATGCTGTTATTTTCCACTGACATGGCTTGCCAATATTTGAGGATATCCTCCAAGACAAGACTATCCTTCAGCTTGAGACATTGTGCTCAGTTTTGTGTTAAGTATTTAATATGCTATAAAAGAATAAAACAAAATTTAGTGTTAGGCGATGTTCACTCAGAGACAAAACAATTGGGATTTTTATTAATATATTGGTGTTGTTTATTATTTATAAATCAAAGAAGAAACTAGCATAAGAGTGTGAATTTGCAAATTGTCCTGAGCTATTGAAAATCTAAAGAAATAAGTCACCTTAGTTGTTAAAGTAAGAAATGGATGTACTCCACTCTCATATAGACTTTGTTTTACTCTTTAGTTAAAGAACTTGCACATGTAATGTCTTAATATTATGTTGTGCTTTATGTATAGTTTTAACACTCATACTGAGAACCAGGGGCCAGATTCATGAAGCAGTTACACAAGCACCTGTACATCTTTTCTCAATGTTTGGCAGCTTTGTTTACAATCATTAAACAATTAATGAACTCCAAAGCACCAGGAGGCTATTTATAACAATAACAACAGTTGATTGGGAAGTTTTCATGCTTGTAAAGTGTTTTATAAATGTAACCAAAGCCGTCAAAGATTGAGGAAAGATGTACATGCTCGTAAGTACAGTACATGCATAACTGCTTCATGAATCTGGCCCCTGGAATTTTACAAGTTTGTGTATGTTACTATTGTATTGATAATAGTAAAATATATTATTAATACTGTAGTCAGACACCCAACATTAATTTGTTAGATTTGCAAAATGGTAATCCAGGAATGCATTTCCACAGCTTGTTTTGAGGGCCTTTGTGCAGCTTCAGTTGTGATGCTTTACCCCAACTTACGTCGCAGCTCTGGCCTTCAACGATTCTCCAGCCTTGGAGTTGGGGGCAGTCAAGGGGGCTCGGGCGGCATCGGCAGTAGAAGTCGCAATGGCTCTGTAAACACAAATTCCTTACCAACGGGACTTGATCCCACTGTAGTAAAACAGACCAGTAAACATTGCCTTTCTCCAGATGAGATTGTTGATAAATATCGGGAAGCTATTGTCCATTATAGTAAGGTGAGAAAACTAGATTTATGTTTTAAGTATTTGTGTAAGTCAAAATAATTAAAGAACTAAAGAATTAATTTTGCTGCTTCCTTTAATTTGTCAGTATGTACATGAAATTTTTTTCTTATATCTTAAGATAATGCTCATACTGTATTTTAAAATCCTTGATTTGCAATATCCACTGGCCAGTGTCTAAATTTTTCATATTGCCAGACAGAAAGGGCGCAGAAATGGTTACAGTGGATAATACACAGTCTCTCTAAATTTCAGTAGATTTTAGATTTCAGTAGATTTCTTATGGCAACACATAATAACAGGAAACAACATGTAATTACCCAAGTGTAGTTACAGGATGAGAGCTATGCTCATGATGTCTTCTGGCAAACACTCCATATTTGCATCACCTCCATTTTCTCTACCACATTCAGTTATGTCTGCATATACCTCATCAACCTTTGCAGCTTTTCACATTATAGCACTCTTCATTGATGTACTTACCTCGTACATAAACATACCAACTTGCATACTATCTGGCACTCTCCTCAAGCATAAAATTTAGTGACATTCAAATTAGCACAGGTTTCATTACTTGTGCTCATTTGATTAAGTACTGTATTTTCTTCCCGAGTTCTAATCTCTCTACCATTTAACAGTCTCATGGAGTTTTAACATTATTTTCCCCTTCACCTGACTCCCTGCTAATCTTCTCTCTCCTTTCCAAAAGACCATCTTGTTTTCTGGGATTTTTTCTCCCCTCTAATTGGCTCTGTTTTTGCTCACATGATTTTTGGTCATCATTCACCTATTTTTTTCTCTTGCTCTCTGTCTCTCTCTGTCTCTCACACTCGTTCTTATTCTCATTTAGAAAAACCATTTAAAAAAACAAAGCTGAGATTTCCTGCTTAATCCATTGGTGATTTTAAAATATTTAACCCTAATATTAAATCAGATCTTTCAATTTGAATATTCAGTACAGTGTTATAATTATCCGATTAACAGTATCGGAATGCCGGGGTGGTGGAGACGGAGGCTAGTATCAAAGCCGTACATGTACTGATTGAACAGAGACGTTACCTCATGGCTGCAGAATTTCTTTCAAATGTGGTCTTCATTAACCTCCAGCTCTCAGATGAAGAGAAAGTAAGAATTCCTTTTTACACTTTATTGTAATAGGCAGCAATTTAAACAATATTTTTAATGATTTGTTGGTTAATAAACCATTCATCTTATAAAAAGTGAGATAAAATTAATAATCATTTCTTGATTACCTATGTTTAATTTTAAACATTAATTTTAGTACCTCTTGGTACTAAAATTTTCTATAGTAGTACTGTCTTGTTTAATTGAAGATCAGTTATTAGAAATGGTTCCCTCTCTTATCTTCAGTGTATCAACTTGCAGATTCTACGTTTCAATGCTCTGGCAGATCTCTATCACCAAATAGGATTTCATCGAAAAGCTTCATTCTTTCGACGTGTTGCTGCAATGAGGTGTGTGGCACCTCAGAATCAACAACCAGACTGGGGTCAGTGTTATCGACTCTTGCTACAGACACTGGAGGGATACAAAGTTTGCCTTGATCCTTTAGAATTCAGAAAAGGTAAGTGGAGATTGTTACATTACAAGCATTCACTTAAATTGGCATCTTTAATACAATTAACTCCCGAACACACACTGCAGTAGGACCTCCTTGTAACACACGTTTAGATAATTCCACACCACCCCACACATTCCCACATTCTACTAAAAAATACTGTACTGCTCGTTATTGTATCGGCTAACCTACCCACTTTTTTAAAGTTCTTATTCATAACATTTGTGGTTTTATCATTCTTTAGTGCCTCAAATGTATTTTCCCACAAATAGCATTGACCTGCTAGTGTACAGAGTACAATATTACTGTATTTATAGTGAAGTATTTTTAATTTTATTGTACTGTGTCCACAAATGTTTATTGTTACAAAAATTATGTACAGAAATCCAATTTTTACCTTGGATTTAACATGAGTCCCATTGATAATACATGGGGCATCCCCTCGTGTAACTTGAATCGAATACATGTTGTTCACTCAATCTATCATAGCTATTTACAATCGGCTGCCCCATAGGTAAGATCTTCAGTGTTTTCTGGACAAATATTGTGACCATCTGACATGGGATGGCACCTTGTGGTGCCTCTGCATTGGCACCACAAGAAACTTTTCTACCCTCAGAGCCATAAAAATTACTAGGTGTTCCTGTAGTTTACCACGATGCAATCGAGCATGACCAACAAAAGGCACATTACATGAAAACTCAAAGCCATGAAGAGCTTCCTTGGAAAAACATTTGGCTAGACAGCCAAATGAGCTCTGTCCCCAATTGCCTGCCCAGAAACATTATTTTTAACCACCAACAGATGACAGCATCTTATCCATAACATGGTTGTTATGGTCCCTTATGGTCCCCTAAGGAACCCCATATGGTCCCATAGCCCCAAAGATATTATTTTCTTCTAGACTGTTGTGACATGTTTAACAGGGTGGAACCAAAACTAAGTAGACTAGATCAATCCCTTAACATCAATTCTGGACACAATTTTACAATTGTGACCCTGCAAGGTCATTTATAAAGGGTTCAATGCGACACCAATGTAAGATGTCTCGCCTGCTAGATTGTCTCAGCCGTTGCCCAGAGGATGCAAATATTTGCATTTAACATCTGCTCAAAACTGCATGTTTTATTAATTTTGTTTATTGACTTCTAATAATAAAAGTTGAACCATTACCATTTGCACCAACCAGTAGTTACGTTTGTAAATGTAATTATTTTTTTTCAGATGGTAGCCAGGGTTGGCCTTCATTACAAATTCAAATTCTGCAGGAGCTAGTGGGTACATCACGAAGAATGGGTCACAATGCCCTCTGTACACGTCACCAAGCATTCTTGGGTAACTCATTTAATTATTGTAGTGGCACGTGTGTGTGTGTGTGTGTGTGTGTACTGAATTTTATACATAATTGTTTTATTTACATATTTGTGCACCAAATATCACATATCTTAAAATCTATTCAGTGTTCCTTTCATAAAGAATTTAAATCAGGAAGTCTTCTATTGTGGACTACTATGACTTTTTAATTTTTTAAATGCAAAATTCCAGGATATTTTTTAACCCTGCAAGTGAGAATTGTGCTAATACACAAATAGATTTTATGTTGAGAATACAGTAATAAGTTGCAGAAGTGAGAATGGTGCTAATAAACAAATAGATTTTATGTTGAGAATACAGTAATAAGATGCAGAAGTGAGAATGGTGCTAATAAACAAATAGATTTTATGTTGAGAATACAGTAATAAGTTGCAGATAACTGTTAAACTGCAAAATCAGCAAGTTACTAGCTCCAGAATTAACTTGGTTAACTTCATCTAGTGAGATTTACAATTTAATTATATTGCATAAAAATAAGCTGAAAATGTATTTTCTTAGTATAATTTATAAATGTTTTTATTTTTCAGTTTGTGCAATGATGCCACACTTAAGTGACGTAGAGCGACAAGAAACGTCAAATATGTTAGAGAGTCTCGGTGCAAGAAGTGGGAGTGGCCCTGCACCTCTTGTGGTGCAGGAGACTGGTATTATCATACCACCAGTCAATTTCCTCAACATACCTATCTGCAGGTAGTGTTCACTGAATTTTATTGTTTTCCAAAAATGTTGTCATTGTGGTTTCTGGAACATTTATGTACCAAAATCACTGAAAAGGTTTATTCTGCTTTCCTTTCCTGATCTCGCTCAAATAAGTTGAGAAAATTAGTCTTTCAAGTATTTTCCATGTATAAGTTATGAATGAGGGAATTTTGCCCTCATTCCAGAAATTGAGAAAATATTTTCTCATTTTCTGTGAAGAGTTTATGAAAATGTACATAATCCCTTGCTTTATCCTTCCAGAAAACTACGTGCAACTGCTCCTGTAACGGGTAGAAGAGCAGAGAAAAAACTCTCCCTAACTGGCGATGAAGATTCGGGGCCATTTATCTTTTCCCCCTTTACCTCCCTTACTAGCAGTAATGACCGTCGTGCTCATGGCAAAATGGGCAAGTATAAGAGTATTAATTCTGTAGTGTATATATCTCTGGAATATTAAACTTTTCCATAGCCTGCCCTTGGGTAGGTAGGTGTGTGTATTAATGCTTTCTACTTGCAGGCACTAATGAGGTTGGAATAGCAGTACTATTCACAATTTCATATGGCTCTGTCATTCTGTATCTTTTGTAGTTGGGGATTTTACCCTTTCCCAGGTGTCCAGCATCAGTTTTGCATCAAATTTGTTAACCTTCAGACTCCTGGCCTTACATAGGCTGTTTATAAAAAAAATATCATGTTCTCGGGTTGAGCTTGTACCCTGTTTCATTCTCCTTTAACATTCTGCAGTTCTTTTTGTCCTGATGCCTCTCTTCAGCTTAGTGTCATTCATAGTTTGAAACATAAATGAATCACCTCTCTCACATAGTGTTATCACAGTTCATTCACAATTTTGTCACATCCATAGTAGCAAATCATGAACAAATTACTTAAACTACTTAACAAATCATGATTTAAGTAGATTCAGTGCCTCTGTATCTGTCATTAATAATTAAGGTATTTAATGGGTTGCATTAATATAGTTCAATCTTGATTAACAGAGGTCAGTTTTTCAATGGTTTTATTAACATGTTTATATGGTAATCATAATAAATAACACCGTGCTTGTCACTCGATTTGAGAAATATTCGCTTTATTCCTCAGTTTGCTCACAAGATCTTCTGCTATTGTTTTCCCCATATATGGCAATACAACATATTTGGTTGGTCGTTTGCTTTTTCCACTGTCAGTTTGTCGTTGGTGACATTTTGGCGGTAATAGGGTGAGGAAGTATGCCGAAATTGTGGTGTTAACAGAGCAATTGTCGGAGGCGGTCAGCTCCAGGAGGGACCTGTCAGGAGGGAGTTGCCACAAAGATATTACCTAATTATTTCAATGTATCTGATTGATTTTCCTTAATTTTTTTTTTTTTCAGTAATATTATTCAGTAGTGTGTAGTGTGATATATTTATAAAATAAAATGTGTGAATCATCCCTATACCCAAAATTATGGTGTGCATATTAGTGATTCAATTATTATGTTAATACAACAATAAACAAATAGACAAATCCACAAGGGCAGTGATGAGGGTTCGAACCTACGTCCGAGAGGAAAATCCCTTGTGGATTTGTTCATTTGATGCATCACACTGTTGTGACTTGTGTGTGTAGTAAACAAATAGTTTTGCTGTTATTATACTATATACACAGGTTATATATAAGTATCCGCATGTTTTGTTAACCATAACGAACCACTAAGTTGATATGGTGTCAAAACAAGAGTGGCCGCCACACACCAGCCAACCAATGCCGCCACCTTCCCTCCTTCAACAACAGCTCACTCGCAAACATTCCTCCTCCTAGCATACTGTTTTTGCCTTTGTTCACTATATACAGACATTATGTATGAGTATTTGCATGTTTTGTTCACCATAACGAACCACTAAGTTGGTATGGTAAGTCATAACGACGAATGGCTGCCTCTCACCAGCCAGCAAATACCGCCACCTTCCCTCCCTCACCTCACCTCACTTGCCAACACTCTTTCTCTCACCATACTGTTTTTACTTTTATTCACTATATACAGATGTTTTATATAAGTATCTACATGTTTTGTTCACCATAACTGTACAACTAAGCTGGTGTGGTGAGTTCAGACGACAACACAGGTTACCACACACAGGCAGCTGATGCTGCCTCCCTCCCGCACTAAGATTCCCATATTGTTTGTGCTGTTATTACACTATATACTCACATTATATATAAGTATCTACATTTGTGTTCATCATAGCGAACCACTAAGCTGATATGGTAATTCTAGACAATAACAGGTGGCCACACACAGTCACCAGACGAAGCTCCCTCCCTCAGCATTGCTGTTCCCAACATACTACGCACAGCGCTAATTATCACAACAATCCTGCTATTATCAGAATCTTGGTCATTTTTTTCACAGGGGTCTTCTGTAATACTATCATCGCTAAATAATGCCAGTTACGTATTTATTTTTACATAATTTAGGTGATGCTGTGGTCACAGGCTGAACAACAGTGCTCTTAGCTCATGCTGTGTGCACCAGCCTTGGTTGCTCACTTAGTACGGAGGCTCTCGCACCTGGGAATGTTGCCCACTTTTTTTTAATGGCATCTGTTTACAAGAGCCCTGAGGAAGCTGATGTGAATCCCATGTAGCTGAAAGACGTTAGTTTTGTGCGGTACTCCAACACATCAATAGCTGTGGTGCGCAATTCTTTGACAGTTACTCGCCACAGCTATTGATGTGTTTCGCAGTTTAAGGGTTGAACTTTCATATCTATTTATTAAGCTTTTCTGTACTGATAGTGTTACATCCCTATTAAAAACATCTGTTTTTCTAGGTGAGTGACCTCAACTAAAATTTTCCCAGACGTTCCTAATTATTTGCAAGTGTTAGACACTTAAAGAAGCACTTAAAATAGTTGTTAAATATTAGTTGTTAAATTTTTGCACTTGAGTCTTTGGCTATCAAAGAGTTCATTTATTACCATATGCTTATAGTAAAACACAAGTATAATGTATTTGAAAAGTCTGAATATTGTTTAATCTCGCATGCATGTAGGAGAGCAAAATTGAGATAATAGGGAAGATAATAGGCACAAGTAAGTAGGACAAATAAATGTTGACCAGACCACACACTATAAGGTGAAGGGACGACGATGTTTCGGTCCGTCCTGGACCATTCTCAAGTCGAAGCGACTTGAGAATGGTCCAGGACGGACCGAAACATCGTCGTCCCTTCACCTTCTAGTGTGTGGTCCAACATACTTTAACCATGTTATTGTGACTCATCGCCTGCATAAGGACAAATAAAACTGCACTGATTCAGATAACAGTCCTACCCTTGAGAATTAGGTTTGGCAGAGAACATGTTGCAGATTACTGCATTAAGATTTGTGGAGGGAGTTAGTAGGTCTTGTATATTTCCAGCACAATAGTGCTTCCATGACCAACTTCAGTCAACCACTATTGCTATTGAGACAATAACTCTAAGCGCCTACTATAATTTTTTTACAGCATGAATTTGACAGAGTAGTAATGGTGATTACTACTTTGCAGACTTTGAGTGGGTGGAAGGAGATGTGTGTGAGATCTGCTTGGACCTGGAGAATCCAATGCCCTTTGAACTGAAGGTTACTAACATGGTAAGTTATTACTAGAAAATAAACTCAAGGTGTGTAATGATTTATTAGATACCATTTTGTATTTGACTACAGTTTTGTTGTAAACCTTTGATAAATATATGGCCATAGGGCATAGTTATTCACTGATAAAGGGGAAATAATGCTTGGTATAAGGTTAGCAGCAAACCTTTTTAGAGAAAATAAAGAAAAATGAGTTAAGTGCTTTGTACTGTATACTGTGCAAAACATAATATAATTTAATCCATCATTTACAAAAATACTGGGTTTGCAACAAATTTGTTGCATATGTTGCATACAATATTTATTTTATTATAGTTAATAGCTAAATTGTAACAAATTTGAATAAAGAAATTAGGTATATTCTCCAAGGACACGTAAGAAGCATATCACACAGAATTGACAGCTCTTACACATCATTGTCCTGCTAGGTAATTTGACAACCTGCTTTTCACCCATCCAGCCAACTAATGTATCTTCTTATCCATCCATATGTCCCATCTACACTAAAGAATTGGAACAACTCCTGCCTCGCCCAATTTCACTCCAACCTCTGCTTCCGCCCACTCTCACCTGCAGCCACTCCTGGCCACATCTCTTCCTGCCCCCAACCACTCTCAACACCACAAAACACCATCCCAACCTATCTCGTGCTCACCTGCTTGACACACAACTAATTATACTTGTCATTCATCCCACCTCTCAACTTATGTTTTAAGTAGGTTATCTTAAATGTCTGAACAATTTGCACATTACAGTATAATCAGTGTCAACTGGTTATATTAGCTATTGACTTGACAATTGGTTATGCTTTACTGTATTCCCAAGGACTTGACTTGAATAATGTGTGTACATTTTGTGACTAAAGAGTTTGGTAAGGGAGTATGAAGTCTTGATGGCATGGAAGGTTGTCGATGGTAGGTTGTTGGGGCTGAAGGATGCTGTTGATATGTCATTGAGAGCTGATATTGGGTATGCTATGATCAGTGGAAAAAAGGCTGGTGGGGGATGGCCTTTTCCTGTGGGTTCTGTTGGATATTAAAGCTTCAGTATTGCTGTACTTGGTAAATTTACTTTTATTTTAATGAGCATATCAGGTAATCTAGATTATTCATGAATCCCAGATCAGGTCTGGAATGATAGGCCAGATTTTAAAGATTGCAGGATACTGTACTGTGTATTAAATCTCTCGGAAGTTCCCAGAATGCAGTATTGAGGTGAAGGAAATAAAGACAACTAACTAAAGTTGCAGTGCAAATGTGTCACAGAAATAACTATGAGCAAAGAAAGTGGTGCATCCTTTTTCTTCACCTATGCTAGGATGCACATGCAGGCATTCCATGGATAATGAAGACCAACTGCTCCAATATCTATATTAATAATTTAAATGTATACTTTTATTGGCAGAATTAATGTTAAAACAGTAATTAGGACCTCTGCAATTTGAAGTAGTGAATAAAATAATTGAAACTAAATTAGTAAAAATTGTATGGAAACTATTGTAAGATTAAAAACAAACTTTAGTTTAATCAAGGGCTCCTGGTATGATATTTTAATAGGATGTAATAAGATGGCTAATTAGTGCACATAATCATGTTGAATGTGCTTTGCAGTAGGTTTAGGCATTTATTGTATAAAAGAAGAAAGTTTAAAAAAATGTAGAGGAAAATAGGTTTATTAACCCTCAAAATGCAGTTCGTCACCATATATTGATAATGTAATTCAGGAGTCTCCAAACTACAGCCCACATTCAGCCCACAATATTTTATCCATCCAGCAGCAACTTGAAATATACATAAATAATATAATTATTTCCCTTCATTTTTTCTCAACCACATGGGTGGGTAGTTAACAGGTTCAGTTCCTGTCTGCTACTCTCCTTTTCCTGTAACACCAAGCCAGAATCTAAAATTAGTATCAATGCATAGTATACACATCACAGATGATAGGGAAGCTTTCCTGAGACCTGGAACTTCAAGAACAAGAGGTCATAGATTTAAACTAACTAAACAAATATGCCAAAGAAATATAAGAAAATTCACTTTTGCAAACAGTGGTAGACGGTTGGAACAAGTTAGGTGAGAAGGTGGTGGAGGCCAAAACTTCAGTAGTTTCAAAGCGTTATATGACAGAGTGCTGGGAAGATGGGACACCAAGATCGTAGCTCTCATCCTGTAACTACACTTAGGTAATTAGAGTAACATCTTCAAAAAATAGCAAAAAACTGTCAGAATATATTTTGAGGTGGAATTAAACTTCAGTGTGTGACAATAGGAGAGAACATGTCTGGATTAAGAACATCATAATAAAGGTAACTGCAGAATGCCTATTGGCCCATACGAGACAGCTCCTATTTATAACCACCCAATCTCACTCGTATACATGTCCAATCCACGTTTTGAAACAATCAAGGGACCCCCCCACCTCCACCACATTACGCGGTTATCTTGAGGTTATCTTGAGATGATTTCGGGGCTTTAGTGTCCCCGCGACCCGGTCCTCGACCAGGCCTCCACCCCCAGGAATAGCCTGTGACAGCTGACTAACACCCAGGTACCTATTTTACTGCTAGGTAACAGGGGCATAGGGTGAAAGAAACTCTGCCCATTGTTTCTCACCGGCGCCCGGGATCGAACCCGGGACCACAGGATCACAAGTCCAGCGTGCTGTTCGCTCGGCCGACCGGCTCGGCGGTACTGTAATTGGTTCCACAAAAACTGGATTTGTCCAACCATGGTTCTACAACCACAGTTGGACAAATCACAAAAGCTTGTGAAGTTGGTGGATTCTCAAAGCCCATGTTTCTCCATTGTCTTATCCATCAACAAGCATTGTTTGGAAAATATGTGGATATGTCTTGTGTTCTCAAACATGCCGTTTCTACGGTGATTTTCATTCGATCTCATGGGCTTAATCATCGGCAGTTTTGTGATTTTCTGAAACAAATTCCAAGCTCATTGACATTCCTTATTATGTAGCAATTCAATGGCTTAGTTGTAGAAAGGTTCTCTCACGGTTCTTTCAGTTCTTTGGAAGATACTCTGATGCTTATTATGGACTTTGCAGAAAGGTGGATTGATTTGATTTTTATTTGACTTGTGTTGATGGTTACAAGCTTCTTTTGAATTTTTGATTTGTTTAACTGAATTTCTTTCTTTAGGTGTTTTATTTTGCTACAAAATTGGGTCAATTCTCTTTTTCAGGTACACATTTGTAAAATTTTAGTAACTTCAGTAAAGTTAATAAAAAATGAATCGCCTGAATTTCATCTGCAGTTAAATAAAGGATTCTTTCATCAGTTCAATTGCTAAGGTTTTACATTTTTTACTTGTTACACAGTACAGTATATCATTCCCAGTGTAAGCATGGCATTTTCTTTGTAATTGTTACATTTCTCTCTTGGTTTTAATCATATCATGTTGATTATCTAGAAAAGATCCAAAAAAAGTTTGGAGACCCATGACCTGATGCAAGCAATGATCATCAAATGAAGGCTTATGTTTTGGTTCAATGTTTGAATGCAATGCTGCCGACATGGTTCCAATATAATTTTTTTTTGGGGGGGGGGGGGGGGGGGCTAAGCATCTGGTGGGCCTGCTAAGTGTTACTCCTTTGAGTCTTCTGCGGCAGTTGATGATTCTTTATGGGTTGTATGTTAGATTCAGCAAGATTGTGTCCAATGTGTTAACAATATCTATGCTATTAAGGTAGAGCGAAGGAGCCCCACACCCATATGCCAGGAAAACCCAGCGTCCTTCCCATAGCAGCAACCCTCGAACACCCCCAGCAAATATGGGGCACGGACTGGAAAGACGAGAGAATCAAGAGAGGTGAAGCACCTGAGAAAACGATGTGGAACACCAGCACTTGTGTACTCCGTCCACACCAAAAACTCCCACGGCGCATGCGTAGGACACATGAGGCCCAAACCACACAACCACGCCCTGCGGGAAGGGCACCAACAAGTAGTATTGCAAAATATTTGCAGTGCCTAAACAGAGCACGGAGAGAAGAAATAGTGCAAACGAGACCGTATAAAAAAACAAGAAGCACAGAAGAGGCCCAATGAGTCCAAAAAGGACTGGAGGTTAGCCTCACCGGAAGACGACAGATGTTCCAATAATGCGGGAAGAATCTAAGACCTTCCCGAGACCTCACAGAAGCAAACAATATCACGAAGGCTCAGAAAGACACTGTCACACCCGAGACCAAAAGTCATACAGAAATCCTGATAACGGGAACATGACCCCTCCATGACGGAGAAGTCCCACCCCAGAGAAAAGGGGGTAGAAACGAAGAAAAGTCCCCCACTGATAGGACGGAACCGAACGGACCCGAAGGGACAAGGATCCAAACCCAGGGAGGGGCCGACGCCCAACAACTCGTACACAGAGAGGGGGGGGGGAAGAAAAAACCCCACTCCCCGCAACCGGAAGCCCTTCACTGAGGGTAGAAAGCCCCGGTGGGGTCCAACGGGGCCCGAGGCCCCCCTAAGTCAACCCCCCCCTCCCCAACCCTGGGAACCTCCATGGCAGGCCCCGGGGCCAAGCCGTCCCCCCAAAGCCCCAGCCTCAAGAGAAAAGGTCGGGGCAGCCAGAAATTTATTAAGGAAGAGAGCCCACTGGCAGGCTCATACAACTTTGCTTTAGAAACTTTCTCGAATGCCTCCGTCGCTACCCGGAAAGGGGAAACCCCGGAGACCGTCAGAGTCTGAAGATCATCGAATTCCCGCCCCGACCCCGAACCCACAGATGGAAAGGATCCGGATGCAGGGAAGAAGGGATAGGGGGGGGACTAGACTAAACCATATCACAGGAAAGACAAGGGGATGAGGAAGGAACAAAACCGAAGCAATCAACACCCCCAAGCCCCGTTACAACAACCAAAAACGGGGCAGCCTTGGGGCTTCTGGGAAGCAAACCCCCTAGCGCGTTGCCACCACTTGAACTCAACGTGTAATACCCGTGCTGCCTGCACCCACATAGTCAGCATAAGACCAGGTAACCGAGTCACAAACAAGAAATGAAACTCGCAGGACTCCGGGTCGAAAGTGCCACCGACCCCCACAGGCAGCAGATGGAGGCAAAACAAAGAGTCACCCTGAGAAAAGGGACAGAGCAATCCTCGAACTCACACAAAGCGAGGGGGGGGGGACTCGGGTCACATCCATCGAACCCACGCGCCCCCATGGGGATTCCCAGGGTCCTGAGACAGAACTCACGCTCAGGGAATAACGCCTGGCTCTCGCACCTCTGGAAACTGCCACCACACTCTAAGCACAGTGTTGAAAATCACTGGAGCCAGAGCATACGACCTTTGCCTCTAACATCAGCCTTAGAACTGAAGGGTGGATAGCCGGCGCGAGGGTCTGGGGCTCCCCCTTCCCCCTCCCAGGGAGGGAGGAGTTGCGCAGACAGCAGCGCGGTGACGTGTGATGTCACTCTCCTTTGCTCGTTTCTTTTTGGGGAGTTCTATCCACTTGTCCAGCTTTTGGTAGCAATTTTCACCAGAATAGGGGTTTGTTTTGGGACGCTTACCTTTCTGGGTGCCTGACCCGGTCGATGGCAGACATAGAATGCTTCCAACCACACGGGGTTTCTATAGGCCATTGCTCCCCATGCCTCTCTGAGGGGGCCAGGTTCTGGCTCGTGATCCCTGGTAGGCCCATAGAACTCCATACACATGACTGATGCCAAAGTCTGACATTAGCATATCAGCCTGGATAAGCTCTGGGGAGCCTCTGGGTCTTACCCAGAAAACGGCGTTTCATTATATTCAACGCTGGTGTTTTTTTGCAAACGGATACCTTGCTTTTGAACATATTTTATATGAAAAACTAAATATTTTATTTGGTCTTAGCTCCCATCACAGTGTAATGCTGACTAATGCTAGAAGGAATGTTGACCACGACCCAGACTAAAGTAGGGGAGTTGTACGAGTTTTTTGTTATTACAGTATTATGCTGTTCAATACAGGTACAGTATATTACTAAACACAAACAATTAAAATAATTTGTTTACAGTCATGGTGACAATTTTAATGATTGCCACATTTTAAGGTTAAAGAGCTTTAATGTGAAAGTGAAATGTTAACTTTTGAGGTTGGGGGGGAGGGGGGAACTAAGGATAGTCTGGCATTTACTTGTCAGTAATTACAGGAAGATAGACCTGGCTTGTACCCCACATTCTATTAGTATTGAATAAATTTATATTACCTGTTGCTCATGTTGCTATTATACTTGTTTTTAAAACTGCTTCCAATATTATACTAGTTTACTGGCTGCAATTCATGCAAGTACTAGTACCGTCTTATAGCTCACTCATTTGTGCTCCCATCTTTCACCTGTCCTCCTCCCCTCATCAGGAAAATGATTGTCCTTTTCCATTCCTCTCGATATTTTTCATTTTGCAATTATCTCTTGCTTCTTTTCTCCTGTGTGATTGTATGTTTGAGTTCCCTTAGTCAGATTTCTTTTCTCAGTTTCGTTATTTCTGGCACGAAGTTTGTCGCAAATCATTAGCCTTGATCAATCTTGTATTTGACAAGATAGAGGTTTTTGCATATTCTAGAATTTGTCTGGCAGTGGTTATGCATGTTGCTTTGAAAAAGTTCCTACTTAAATTTTTAAAAGTGATCCATATATTTGCCAGTTTAATGTACACAGCTGATGATCTATTGATGTGATGATAACAAGAAGGATAAGAGTTAGAAATGTGTATTTGAAGTTTCTATATGAACATCTAAATTGATGTTTTAACCATATTGTATGTAGGTTCTGCAGTGTAGTTTGATATGACTTATTAAATATTGAACCATTGCTTTGAAATAGGTGTGGCAAGTGTGTTTGGTAGTTGGGAACACACAGGATAAATGGAAGTATGCTGAGAATATGGCAAGTGAATGAAGCAGTCTATCTTATTATATGAAAGGAAAGATTAAAAGACATGTGATGGCCCAGGTAATGTATGGGCAACACTGCATCGATATTATTTTGGTGTCTTATTTGCATATTTCATACCACTTCAAATGAAGAGTAATAAAAAGGACTTTATTATCATTATGAACAAATATACAAGCTTCTAAGTACAGCATTTTGTTACTTAAATTTATATAAAATAAAAGCAAATACAAAATAGGTTTTATATATGTTCTAATGATTATATGCTCTTTCATTATAGATGCTGATTACTGAAGGAGTTCAGTTTGAGTCTTGGGCTTCAACAATTGTATTAAAAGCAGAGAAAAATATTCAGACAGTGACCCTGCGAGGAAGACCACAGAGTCCTGGGGAATTGAAAGTTACAGGTTACTCCTCTACAGTTATGGGAGTTACCAGTAATTGTCGCTTTAAGTTCATGCCCCATTTCAAGATACCACAGTACACAATTATTATTGTACCTGCACTACCATTAATACAGGTTAGTTAAATTTTTCTTCCTGCATCTTGATTATATACAACAGTTATACTCATACTCAGTTAGTCCTTCCTGAGTATAGGAAGTATATCTCCTTCACTCCCTGTTCTTTTTTACAACTTTTGGAGTTGATACATGGGGAACCTTCCCAAGACAATTAGGCTATGCATTTTGTGTGATTTTTAACTAAACATACGGCCAAAAGGCACTATATTTCCAATTAAGACTTGGTAAGTTAATTGGCTAAATATATAAATATTACTGACAAATCAACACAAGACATTTGCAAATAAAGAACTGGAGTACTCATCATTTGTAAATATTAATTAGGAAGCTTAATTTGAATAGATATCCAGTGATTGTTGGGAAAACGATCATTGTTTAATTAAATTTGTATGTAATGATCTATTTATCTAGGTAAGGAACCCAGTGCATTCCAGGGTATGAGAAACACTTTCTCTTAATGTGATTACAGTACAACCTCGATTCAACGTACCCCGATTCAACGAATCTCTGGCTAGTTCGCACACTTTTCAGGCCGGATTTACTCACCCGGTTCGATGGTTCAGCGAAGCGGGGGATGTTCGGATTTGCTTACGATGTCAAGACAGAGTTCACAGACTGATGGAAGATTTTCCCATTCTCTCACAGATTACAATTAATAATTCCCTCATGACAAGTTCGACCACACAAGTTCGACCACACAAGTTCGAACACACACACAGTGGACCACAAGCTTCCGATGTTGGGACAGAGTTCACAGAGTGGTGGAAAACTTTCCCATTCTATCACAGATTACATTAATAATTCCTTCATAAGACAAGTTGGATCACACAAGTGGACCACACAACAAGTGAAGCATATTAACCAAACATCAGCCAGAGTGGTCCACACAAGTGAACAACTGAGTTTCCATGATTTTCGTTCTCTGATTTGTGGCACACGTATCTTTTGTAAATTAATATAAAGGCTGAAGCGTGATAAGCTAGCTACTTGTGGTAAAATCTTATAGACATTTTCTGTGATGAAACAAGATGAGTGAGGGTGGACAGATAATGGAATACTGTACTGTAAACCTCACTTAGTTTTCCTTTGTGTCATAGTTCAGTAACCCATGACTTTGAAAGTTTCAGATTAATAAATCATTTCTATAACCAGTGTTTTAATAGCTTTTTATTATCCTAATTAAACTTAACTAAACTAAATAAAACTGATGAAAATATACTGTAATATGATAGCATCTGCTATTTGAGAAATTATTTGTTATTGAAACTACTACTCCAGCACGAGGGGATGGGTCTAATCCTTGTTCACACGGTACCATGCGTATTTCGTTCGATTTTGTCGCCACAGTTCAGTGACCTACGGCCTCGAAATAATAAAATTAATAAATCGGTTCTAAAATAAGTTTTTTATATCTTATTATCCTAACAATGTTATTAACTAAATATATAACCCAAAAATATATAATTTGATGTAAATCCAATATTTGAGAAAAATTTGTTACTGGATCTGGCTTAAACACCAGCCTACTTCAGGGCGTATAGACCTAGTCTGCGTTCATACAGTAGGCACCCAGTGCCGTTAGCTTTGTCTGCGAGCGACGTGTTTGTCCACTGGTGGTAGAATAATTGTAATAACCCACCAGCTTTTATCAATACCTAAGGATGAGGAAAGATATTTGTCTCAAGGACATGACATAAGGAAGGAAACAAACAAAAATGAGTCAATATTTTTTACGAACTAGTAGCAGAAAATCGACCAGCACAGCCGTATGCAGCACGAGCACCGCCGTACCCAGCATGAGCACCGCCGTACCCAGCACGAGCACTGCCGTACCCAGCACGAGCACCGCCATACCCAGCACCGCCGTACCCAGCACCGCCGTACCCAGCACCAGTAAAACAGCAGCCTGCACCAGCTCAGCAGCAGCTGAAGCCAACACAGCAGCAGCGAGCACCAGCAAAGCTGATGGAAACATCTAAAAACATTGTGTGTGGAGTGAACAGTTAGAACAAGTGTTAAATTTAAGTGTGTGTACGTAGTGTTAAAATTAAAGTTGCAGTAATTTTAGTGTACAATAGTTTTCGTAAACTGTATTGTAGTACTTAACCTACAGCAGAACTACTTAATCAATAAAGTGCTAATGACATAATACACTACAGTACGTATTTACAGTACAGCATTCACAACTTCACGAGACTTAAAGATGGACATACAGTAACTCCAACAATAAGGTAAATAACAAATGTAACACAGTATTTTTAGTAGAGTTGTAATATATAGGTACAGTATATAATATGATAATGCATTTTTATTGTGTACAAGAAAAAAAGACTGACACAAACGCCTCTTGAAGGTCACCTCTTGCAACGAATCCAACGCTCCAACGCACTTGGGTTGGTCCCATATACTGTAGTGTGTTGAATCGAGGTGGTACTGTAATTGATTTCATTTTAATTCAAACTTCAGTTCAATATCTCTTCTTAGAGTAAGAATACACGCTTATTATGAGTACTCTCTGCAGATACTGAGCAGCAACAGTAGCCCAGGAAGCTTAGGTGCTGAGAGGCCACTTGGTGAAGAGTGTGGAAACTTACACTTGTCGTTGTCTGCTGGAGAAACACACGAGTGTTCTGTGATGCTCCACAATGTGTCCTCCCAGCCAGTGGAAGAACTTACTATTACTCTCGAGTCAAAAATGGACAAGGAACTGTTGAGCCAGGTAAGGAGATTACTTAAAGCTGCATACATTTTATGTTAATCTTTGATGTTAAAGACTTTATTCTCTAGTCCTTTATATGTTTCAATTTATTTATATATACATATATATATTTATTTATATATTTTTTTATTTATTTATTTATTTATTTATTTATTTTAACTGGTTAGCGCACATTATTGCGTTTCTGTAAGGCAAGATTTGACCAACTCTTAGTAAAGATCTAGCAGAGTGAGGATAGGGGCAACATTTACACTGTCAATGCAGAAAGGTTTTCAAACTGTTCATGCCATATCATAGTGATGCTTGGGAAACATTGGAGAATACTCAATCCAGCCCATAATGTAGACAATGTGTGTATTCACATAAAACTTCCAGCCTTTCCAGGCACATCTTTATCAAAGAATAACAATAGGCAGCCCTCCTAACTCCTGTGTACTCATTTCAATGCAGAGCTCACTCTTTTGTTCATGCCTTTCTTGTTCATTTCACCTCTTCCTTGAATTGCCCATTTTACCAGAATTTACTTAATCTTTTCTCATCCACTTCTTTTCTGATTGGAATTAACTGCTCCAAGGCATCTGTTTATTTCCAGGCTTCAAGTTTATTTAGCACATTTCTCTGCATTCATGAAGGGATGAATTGGGCCCAGTACACAATGCAGTAGTTGATATGAGCAAGGTTGTACTCTAGTGGAAGATAACCAGGGCTTAAACTTGTGCAAGTAGTAAGTTTTGTATTGACATTGAAACAGGAAACTTTAAAGTTGAGTGGGTTAATTAAGACAGCAGGTTTAAATGGCTAGGAGGTGGGGCATAAAGGGTTAGATCTCGCTTCCCTGTAGTCACTGATAGGTGAGCAACAGAAATGTAAATTCAATGTTGTACAAATTAAATAAAATATCATTATAATTGGGTCAGAGTTTATGGAACTTGAGATTGGCAGATGAGGAGTTGGAATGTGGTGCAAGAGAAGATTGAATCATAGGAGGTAATACTGAGAAAGGTCTCCAAAGTGCTGGGAAGACTGGAAAATGTTGGAAAATATTGTGGAATGCATAAATAGTAGGTGTTGAAAAATTATACTGTTTGATAGCAGAGTGAAAATAGGCATAACTATAAAAGGGAAGAAAATGTTATCAGGCAAGCAGACCCAATTTTATTTATGCTAATTTGCTGGACTCACGAAAGTGCTGATAAACAGATTTTCCATGTAGAAACACATTAAAAGTGCAGTATTATTGAATCAGTTATATAAATGAATTGAAAAGTAATATTTATTACATGGGAATTTGAGTTTTTATGACATTAAACAAATTCTGCACATGCCATAGTTTATCTTTGCCTGTTAATAACGTTAAATATTTTTATGCTTCTCATTAATTTGTCTACTCACTAATATTCATTGACAGATTTTTATAAATTATAATTTTCTTGATACAGTATAACAATAACTGTGAACATGTACATATCATGTGTAATTGAGAGAACTGTGATTTGTATTAGCTTTTTACCTTTTAATTTTTGTTTGGTAAAAAGCTACAGTTCTCTATATTTTTTTTTGCAGGTTTTTCAGTATAGTGAGGAAAACATTCATGCCCAACTTCCCATCCCTCCGGGTGGTAAGGCCTCCTTGACGCTTTATGTCTATGCTGTGTCTGACTTCCTGTGCCCTGGTCGCCTGGATGAATCCCTGGAAACTACTAGCTTGATATCTGGCAGTGAACCACCATCACTTATATCAGGTGGACCTTCCTCCCTACCTTCCAGACAGTCTGTGGCTACCTCAAGTACCCGTGGGGCACGCACACGCCGGACAGACTCATCTGCATCATTATTATCGTCTCGCTCGGGATCAAGTGCAAAATCTGGCTCATCATCATCAACCCAAGCTCCCTCGTCGAGTGTTAGAACTCGAGCTACACTCGATACCCCTGGTAGGTTACATGTGGAAAAAACTATTTTTTTGCTATATAAATCCTTCTGTGCTAAGAACACTTAGGTCAGAGATTATCATATTTACAGTTAGAATCCCAGTGGATTATCCAATTTATCCCAATATCTTAATACTCTTGAAATCACCATCACCAGTCCTTGTTGTGCATCAAAACATAGATTCAACTCAATCCATATAGATACCTTTGATAGTTAATTTTAATCTAACAGCAACGTTTTATTTTTAATTGTTCAGAGATTCTCATACTGCCTATTAAGAAGCCCTGCCTTAGATGCTTTCCATGTCAGGTCATTTTGTGTACACACAACTCGTATCACCTGCTAGACTCATCCATGTTATCCACAATCATGACAAATATATTTTGCTAATTGTCTCGTCATGTACTTAGAGAAAGGAGTCAATGGTAAACCTATCTCAAGCCTCAAATGAACAACCAGGTCTGTTTACAAAGCAAGATATCAGTGCCTTCAATTCCACCTGCAAGTAATCATTAGAAGTACTGTACTACTACTCTACTAATACCATAGTAGTAGTGGTGGTAGTAATGTACTGTACTACTTAGTAACATATGGGTCTGTCAACAGGCTCATTCTACGTACATCCCAGATAAGCTTCTACAGGGTGCTAACCTAACCAGTTCACACCTTCTGTGCATATTAGCATCTCAAAATACTTGTTTTATACTCATTTCCTCTGTTTTTTTTTTGTTTTTGTTTTTTTGTATCCTGACTGCCCATGAAGTGAGAGGCAGTGTCACACTTCATGGGCACAGCACACAGTATCTACTTTATGCTCAGTTCTTGAACATGTGTGAATGATTCTTGAACAAATCATAAATCTCATGTGCCTGTATTTTATACCTAGTATTAAAGTCAAATTTTTATCAGTACAGTGTGCTGTGTAGGGTATATTTAATGTACTATTGGAGTTTTGCCCTTCTGATTTGTATTTTTTTTTTGCTCCTGTTTGATATATTTTATTTGCAGGTTGTACAGGAAGAACCCTAGATGCGACCTTGATGGTAAAATATTCTGGTGGGTCAGGAATGAGTGCCGAGTACTGCCGTAGTACTCAGTTGGTGATTAATGTTGAGGTGACGCCTTCACTGCTTGTGACTAGATGGGATGTTCTTCCTGCTGAATTACCTCACCAGTGCTATGTAGTGCTGGACCTCCTCAATTGTGCCTCTAATGAGATGGACCTGCACTATACACCGACCAAACATATTCTCATAGAAGCTGGTGATTCTTGTAGGGTTCCTGTTCCTGTTGACCGATGTCCCCTTGCTACGCTCACACAGGTAAAGTTAACTTCAATGTCAAAAATATTTGTAGAACATTAATTGCTATACAGAATATTTTTATATACAATGCAACTCCACATCATCTGTATTAACTGGTACTGATGGGTGTCCAGAAAACTGGCTGAGAGTCTATTACTTGCTATGGGATAAACTGAAGATTTGGTGGTAAATAGCCCATAAAAGGGCAAATTTTGGAAAATCTAGATTTCCAGAACATCAAGATTGAGCCTGGAACAATATAAATCCAGATTTTTGAGGTTCACCTACATTATAAATCATAAACCAACTAATATATTTAAAGCCTATATCCAAAACTAGTACACAGTATGGTATACAACATTTACATTTGAAGTTAAATTAGCAGTGTACAATTTGTTTTAAATTTCATGCTTGTAAAATCACCATTAATTTTTCAAGACAAAAGGCACCATTTAAAATAATGCATTGAGTACCGCGCATGTTGGCATAAAATAGTTCTAAATAAGACAAACTTAAAGGCAACAGTTAGAAATGTACGTGAAAGGCTTGAGGCTTTTTCCCTCCTCGGCAAGATAAATAAACAAGTCGGCTTGATAATTTATTGTTCAATGTTCCACAGGATGCCAGTGAGAGTGGCTGGGGTTGGTCAAGAGTCCTTGGTGGTCATGTTGCCTCTCTGGTCGAGCTGCAGTGGACATTAGGCCCCCATGACACTCCTGGTCGAGCATCCCTTGCTGGCATCACCTTCCCGCCATCCACTCACGACCTCATTACCATGGCTCCCATACATTGGGGTATGTGCTCCTCACTGCCTTTGGTTTACATTATTAATAGTCTGCCTTTGGTTTATATTATTAATGTAATATATTAACTACTAAGTGTTACTTGTTTCCGTTTTATTTAAGCGGGGTATGAGTATTTGACTCATATGGTCGCTTCAGTAAGATTTTGTCCGATGTGTTTAACAACTTCTGCTCTGTTGAATCAAAGTTGAAATCTTAATGGGTTTGTAACTGTGCACTGTGTTAGGTAATGTTCTAGTGGTCTGTCGGGCATTTCTCCACAGTGCTGACATTTCCTTTCATCTTCTGGAACCTGTAAGCCTATTTCCCATGCACACGGGTATCCAAGCCTGATGCGATGTAAGTGTACTTCTGTTGTTCTACTGCTCCCTTTCATCAAAATAAGTGGTTCGTAGTTGGTTGAATTCACGTACCAACCGACAGATCCTGATGTTGCAACTGCTGTGTTGTGGTCACTGTACATCTTTTGCATTGCTCTATTTCTAATTACTTTCATAATCTGTGATAAACTCTGTGGTATGTAAATGTCTACATTTCTTCTCTAGTCTGTAGCTGAAAGAATGACATGAAATCATAGTCATTGAGAACCTCAAAGTTAATTCAGGGTGACTACACAAGGTAAACATGAACCACAACATTAGTGGAGGTATTCTGGCATGAAACAGTGCATTTGTGATATCTGTGGCAGTGTTCAGGATAAAGCATGATGTGATTGCCAAGTATAAATATAATTATTTCCAGGTATAAACAGTAATGCAAATCAAATTGGTTTAGTTTGGAGAGATTTAAGATCAGAAATCCTTTCGGCAAGTAGAATAAAGAAAACCATTCGAGATAAATAAAAAGCTTCTGCTATGATGTGCACAAATACAGAGGGCACATGTACGCTGATGATAAGAGGGAAGTGGACAAAGTGGATTAGGAAAAAACTCTTTAAATTGAGACATACAAATGGACATAGGTGGACTGGAAATTCAAACGAGACTTAAGGAAGGGCTAATATCTGTACTGAGTACGAGTCTTTCCTTACAAGAATAAGTCACTCGGTTATATATTCAGCTGCTTCAGGCAAATTTTATTCAATTCTGCTGTGCCCTTGAAAATGTTGATAGGATCAACAAAATGCATCTGAGCATAGACATAATAAAACTGTAAATTGAACTTTGGAGAGTTAATTTTTTAACTACAGTACTCATTTGTGGATGAACTTAATAGAGATGATTCATACTAGAATCATTAATCTCACCCTTTGTTATACAGTATTCAGTAATATATATAATATGTTATACTGTATATAGAGTATAATGCAATATAATATGTATAATACAGTACAATTTAAAATGTGTGTGCATTATTATAGTAATTTCTTGTTTTACAGATGTTCAAGTAGATGGGCAAGACGTACTTGGCGGAACAGAAAACAGTGGAGTGGTTGGTCGCACACTAGAATTAAGAGTTGGAATAACCAATACTAGCGGGGCTCCACTTCCCCCACTCAGCCTTCGCCTTACTGCCTTTCAGGACCATCAAAATGGTCACCTAAATTATCGTCTTGAAGCCAAGATGACCACCACAGGTGCTGCAAAGTTGACAACACCTCAGGTAATACAGTACATTGGAATCTTTGATATATTGGACTACAGTAATTGGGACCAAACTAATTCCGACCTTCATAGTATCCATTTAATCAAGTTAAATCATTTTATTAAGACGCTATATGCACTTTAAAATTTGTTTCCACTCAGTGCGCATAAAACTTCTTGTAGATGAGTATATTAGAATCACAAACACAGTTAAAACTTCTTGTAGTGTGGTTTAGTTTTAGTGGAGTATAGATGTTGGTCACTTTTGACCAACAGTCAAAAAGGTTGGCAGTATTGTCAGTGACAAATAATTGGGTTGTGTGGCACACAGCAATGTCCTTGTCTTGATTTTCTCATCTTGATTGTTTTATTTTCTGACGTCAATTGATGTCAGGATATCACTAGAGGAAATGGTTGTTCAATTGCATAAAACATGCCCGAAACGCTTTGCGTAATAGTGGCTTTAGGCATTGTAGGTACTAGCTCTACCTATAAGTCAAACAATCCTTGTAAATATTTATTGTATGTATGTACCTTACCTAAATAAAATTGTTGTTGTATTGTATACAGTATGTCCAGATGTATCATACATGTATCACTATACAGTGGTACCTCCAAAATTTTGAACCCATTCGGGATTTAAAAAAAATTGCCCTTTGGCTATCTCAACATTTTCAGCATTTTACATATAGCAAGTGATACAATACATGTTTACACATACATAGACAAAATTAGTTTGTTCAGTTTCCTTTTTGTAGCATAGGTTAGTCGTGATAACACAGGCAGCGTAATGCAGTTTTAGTACAATGTTGTAGTTTTGTAGTTTGTTATTCTGCAGCCACCCTGAGCTGGTTGTGAGGTTCTCGATACTCTTGGCTACAGACTTTAATTTGTGATGTGTGGTAATTAATCTGTACCTAAATGGACTGTATGAATTATTGGGTTACTTTATGCTACCATACAATCCTTCATTATTTTTTATTTTTTTATTAGTTCTTTTATTTTCATTTAGATTGAATTTAAACACTTCAGTGGATATGGTGAATCTTCATTTAAATTTGCTTCCAAATTTCTAATTCTTGTTATTCTGGTCTTTGCTCAAGTGATCAACCAAATGGCTGATCATGCTCCCTGCACGATCAAATATGGTACGTGGGATAAACAATTAAGTTAGACCTCGGCAACACTGCCAAATGACCTCAGACCAGAATTTTACTTCGAAATCAAACCTAACTTAAATTATCAACAACCATTGGACAGTATAAGTTCAATAGTTATACAAATCATATAGTGTTAGTAATAACTGGGCTATTTAAAGGACATAATACTTAGCTGGCTAGAAATTTGGTCACGCTTCAATCACATGCAGATCTCAATATAGCTGCTTTAACACGTCAGTTTCTAGTGGATGAAACGTTTGTCTCCAGAACCATTCCTGCTGACAAGGAATGTTATATTCACTAGTGAGGAAAACGTGTAGTTATATAACACTTGTTGGCAAGGTATGCTTAAAGGTCTACATGATGCTTATGGCTTGCATTCCCATAACCGCACTCAACCACCCTCTAACTACTACTTGTGTACACGTATATTTGGCCAAACTACTGCACAACAAGGTACAGTAGTATGATGTCACTTAATGTTACAGATAGTGTAAGGCGGAGAAATTTACTTGTCTTGAATATCTTAACAGCGCCATAATAATGGATTGATTGAGGAATAAAGTCTGCCTTCACGCATGCTGGCTCCTTCAATTACTCTGTCTCTTTCAAGAGAGTCCATATTAATTAATATTTGTTTGGGATGCCAAGGCTTGATTATTTATGAATTAGTCACAAATATTATAAGCAACTAGTTCATACAGAACTAACCGGGTTTCTTTCAATAGATACTTTCAATCACGTGTTAAAGGTGAAGTTAGCGGCTCATTTGACTGCGATGGAGCATAGCCCAAGGGTGACATGGCACCGCCCATGTTCGTCAATTCTACATGGTTATTCTCAGTAATCTTATTTATGTATTATTCGTAATGCTTGCTAAATTCAAAGAAAATATTAACCACAATACAATTTAATATATATTCATAATCACATTTGTTTATTTGTAAACAGAGAGATGTTTCTTGTAAGAGATTTCAATTATAATTTTTTTTTTTTAGAAATTATCAATCGCCCATAACTGTAGGGAATGTTTTCCTCACATGACCGCCAACAGCCAGCCCCAGGTCACAAAGCATCACAATGACAGTTTCCTCAGTCTTGTAGCATCAAATGTACTCCAGTTGGCAACTCGAAGCCCAACAATATGGGGCGACGTCGTCGTCGTCGTGGTCGTCGTCGTGGTCGTCGTCGTCGTCGTGGTGGTGGTCGTCGTCGTCGTGGTGGTGGTCGTGGTCGTCGTCGTCGTGGTCGTAGTCGTAGTCGTGGTCGTCGTCGTCGTCGTGGTGGTCGTCGTCGTGGTGGTGGTCGTCGTCGTCGTGGTCGTAGTCGTAGTCGTGGTAGTGTGGTCGTCGTCGTCGTGGTCGTGGTCGTGGTCGCCGCCGTAGTCATATTTGATCACAAGGAAGTTTTGTTGGTCTGTTGGTTTTGAATTTTTATGGAGTGCATCTGTCAGTCATTCTGGTCTGAACTGATATCTCTGGTGGTGCCCCTATCAACTTCATTGACACTGAAGGGATGGCTTGAAAAAGTCCTTATGGTGTCAAGACTGTCACTTGTCTGGCTACCACGATTGTTGTCTAGAGGATACAGCAGATCATCTTGTAGGTGATAATTGAAAGCATTTACCCAGAAATAAGTATTATTCAAAGGTGGGAAAATATGTTGTAGGTATTTGTAACTATAGGGCATATATTTGTTTAAAGTAGCATGCTAAGCACTGTCAGTGGTGTGAATAAAGCAAGAAGACCTCATATGCTGGATATATTTTATACTATTCTGGATTTTGTTTTTGCTTAGCATCCCTGACATAAGTAATCTTTACATAATTATACCATCTAACCTAACATTGCTTTCTGATGACATTGTTGTGTTGATGCCATCTCGCTATTCAATTGACTTATGCACTGTATTTGTATTTATCATTATATTTATTTGCTTTATTTTATTTATTCATGATTAAGTTGTTACATATATTTTTATCTATTTTTAACACGGTAATGCAGTTAGCCGAGGGTGAAGAGTTCCGGCACTGTTGTGGGCTTGTGTTCTTCACGGCAGGAGTGTACAAAGTGGAAGTGACTTGCTCTCCGGCAGCAGCAGTTGCCCAAACATCCTTTTATGAGAACGTCACCCCAGCACACCAGCATGCTTGGAAGTTTGCTCCTCCATTAGAGATAACAGTGACTGATGTATGATTATGGTGCTATGTTTCAGAGAAACTTTGTTTAATAAATATTTATGAAGAAATATATTGGCCAAAATTTTGGATTAATTCCTTTTAATCGAGAGTGATTTAAAGAAATGGGTCATAAGTATGGTGTTAATTAAGAAAAGAGAATTACCCGAGTTAATAATGAGTACAATGCACATTAACACGCAACATCGCGATCTATGATACACAAAAATCATTCACTTCTGTATATTAAGTGCTTGCATTCTGACTTGAAATGTGTGCTGCTATTCAGATGACCACATACTTTTTGGATGCTTCTGGCCTGAGAAACAGCCAAGAAACATGTCCAAAAGAATAGTTCATCATGTGAAAATCTAAGGCAATTTTATTATTATTACCAAACATAGAAATTAGTTGTAAGTACAGTATGCTCAATGAATTTCCCATGGCACAAAGTATGTTATAATTTTGCTTTCCCCTGAAAATCTGTAATAACTTGTTCAAAGCAATTCTAAAGACTATGCCTTCATAACTTTTGTTCCACCCCCTCCCTCACCCCCCACATTTTCCCAATTTTCCTCATTGAGCAAAATATTTAATTTCAACCAGTCAATGGTGTATGAGTGTTTCTTAATTTTGCTGATTATATTCTGGAATAAAATACTGTATGATGAAAATGAACACTCAATTGCCTCATTAAAAATACAAACATATCTAGGTCGAGGAGCTGTGATGGTCATGCAGACACGAGGCATTGGTGTAGCACCTAGGTGGCCACTAGGAAAACTATGCCTCTTCCTCCTGGCCATGCCTCCCTGCCCCTCACTCTCACAAACGTGTAGCAATATTTCACTCGGATCAGTTGCTCTAATACTTATCGGTAACTATTTGAACTACCCATAACAATGAGAAAGCGATATTTCAGGACAAGTTGTGTCCAGAAAGCATGTGGTTGTCCGTAGGTACAAAACTTTGCAACTTATCATACAGGGTGCTAGACTTACTGCAGGTCATATGGTAATGTTTATCTAATTTAAGCATTCCTGTTGTACAATATCAGTATTATGACTGTGGTCTTCCTTTTGGAGCATCACGTGCGTGGTATTCTTAATTTTTGTTTTCTTTACTGAAATTAATTTTGTGTTAAATCTTCAAAAATTGTGAAATTGTGTAATTTTCCACATTATAAAATGATATTCAGATTACTACTGGAAGTAAACATGTAATGTTAACACACCTCTGATTGTTATCGTGCTCTTATTTATTATTCAGAATGTGCCAACAAGTGCACTCTCATTGAAAGCTAGACAGTTTAGCTCATGTAGAGTATGAGTGTAATTGAAGTCAACGAGTAACTTTGTTCTCTCCACATTTTCCCTCTAAACATTTAGCTACCTAATCAACCAGTATAATGGGGACTGAAATAATTTATGAAGTGTGTGGCTATGTGCAGTGTGTGATGGTTATTTAGGCTGTACATAAAGTTTGTTAAGTGCTTACTTTAGAGAGAATTATCTTGACCGGAGTGTCAGGTGTGTACAGGGATTGCTGTTGAAAATAGTAATTTTTATACAAAGTATATAAACTGCATTATTACAACCAAAGTACCATAGTGATATGTATATTAGACATATAATATACTGTATAGCAGTGTTGATGTATCATAACTTTACTGATTTAATATGTACAACAGCACAACATTTGTGCATTTCGAACTTTGTGATATGTAAAATATTGTGTATATGATAATGTAAAAAACAATTTCATAATCTTGAGTCTTTTAGTTGTTGCTTATTTTCTCTTCTCTTCATTGCAATAATTGATATGCATCAGGCTATACAATTCTGAAGTTTTCCAAACTTGCTTATTCAGATGTCATGTTTTCCTCTTAATCATTGATGGACTGTTCTAATTTGACCCTCTTTAGTCTTGTAAATCACCCTTGATGCTATAAAACATACCAGACACTTCTCCGTGTCTATTCTCATGGAAGAACCTTTACCAACAGATATACAGTATTGAGTAATTTACAAATGGTTAAAAAGAAATAGTACCATTTAGGTACCTAACTATGATGGTGTTTTGAAAGTCAAGCTGATGCATTTTGAGAGAGTTTACACAATTTTATTATAGCTTTAGAATGTATAAAATCTTGGTTAGATGATAAATGATCTAATCTAAAAATGATCTGTGATGATAAAATCTTGGTTAGAGCTATAAATTAGTATGTGAAAACCATTTTTAATATCTGGGATTTTCTTGTAACTTTTAGGGTCATTTCATAAACCTCCCTGTAGCGTTTCTTTGTTTTGTTTGAGAGTATGAATGCCTGTATCTGCTTGTGTTTGTAATTACATAAGTATAATTTCAGGAGAGTGTTATGGTCTTAGTGCCCCATTTACTCTCTAATTTTTCTCATATTCTTTGAATCTGCTGATAATTACTTGGTCTCCACCTTCTCACTTAAATTGTTCCAATTATTCACCACTCTGCACAAAAAGTGTATTTGCATATTTTTTGTTTGGGGGGGGGGGCACCTTAGTTTCCTTAGCTTGAATTTATGGCCTTTTGTTTTAGAAAGTGGCAGGTTTCATAACTTCCTCCTTGTCGACTCTGTTAATTCATGTCATTATTTTGTATGTGGTAGCGGTAACTGTCTCCTTTTTTTGTCCTGTTATCAAGCTTTGTGTGTTCATGGACAATTAGGTATGCATGTACATGATGAGCAAGATCTGGCTGTTGGGCTCTGCCTGTCAACTATTATTCCTGGTGTTTGATACTTCCCAATTTTGTAATGCTTCGTAATCCCTTTTTCTTAAAACTGTGAATCAAGGCAGCTTCCACAAGCTTCAGCATGTTGAATTTTTTACCACCCTTTCAGAATTTCTCTATGCCCTTGTTTATGCATTGTGATGTCACCTCTGGCCCTTCTATTTTCTAATGTGGATGTGTAGAGTTCTCTTAACCACTGTGCTGCACCAACTGAGAAAACTCAGTCGCTGGGAACTGCACCAATCGAGAAAAAACCTTTTTGAACATTTCGTACCCATTCAAAATGCGTGCGGTAGATTGTGTACGAAATGGACTCTTGGGCCCTTCAGTAAGAGGCAGCCGTCTTGGAAAAAATTCCCAGAATGCCTTAGGGTTGCTGGCTGGGTTAGTACCGAGTGAGCAACCATGGGTGGCGCACGCGCCTCTGGCTCCCAAACACCTGTCCGACGCGGTGTTGAAAGATTGCTCTCTGTTGGTGAAATTCAGACTTTATTGTTTGAAAAACATAAGGGTCATGATATTGATAAAGCTAGGCGCATTAAGGACCTAACACAAAGGTCGGATGCATGTGATACAGCTAAGATGAGGACAATACAGCGAGCGTATCCAGTTGTAGCTCTGAGCGCCACCCTTGCCATCTCCAATTTTTATAGATGATACATAGATGAATACGCCTTTTCCTTGAGCACTTTTCTTCACACTCCCACTCCGTCTCCATCTTCACCGATGGGTCTAAGTCTGCTAACGGTGTGAGCTACTCTGTTGCTTTTCCTGACCACACTTATGTGTCGCCTTCCTCCGGAGGCTAGCATCTTCACAGCAGAACTTTATGCTATTCTCTCTCCTCTTCATCTCCTGCTTTCTCGTTGTCAATCCTCCTTTGTGGTGGTAGTTGATTCTCGTAGTGCTCTCATGGATTTGGGGTCCTTTAATCCGATCCACCCGGTGGTCATCGAGATTCAACATTGGCTGTTTCTTATCTCCAGTAAATTTAAGTCAGTAGAGTTTTGCTGGATTCTCAGCCATATTGGTGTGTCTTTAAATGAGCATGCGGATGCTGCCACTAAGGAAGCTATCCACAGTTGTCCCATCTCCCATAAAGGTATTCCTTATTCCGACTTTTACCCAGTTATTCATTCCTCCATCCTTGCCCGTTGGCAGAGTTATTGGTCTTCTGTTACTGATAACAAACTGCATACTATTAAGTCGTGTGTCCTTGTGGCCTTCCTCCTACCACCGTAACCGGCGGTGGGAAACGACTCTGGCTAGGTTACACATTGGCCAAATTCCAGTTAAATTCTTTCATTATTTTGTATATACAGTACATTCATATACTGTGGAGGATTGTATTTTTATTTGAGTTAAATGAGGTAAGAGTGCTTGTACTGGTTCTGTTTAATTAATTAAGGAGGCTTTTGGGGATTTACCTTTCTTTCCCTGAAACTAAGTACCAGGTCCAGCTACTTTCCTCTTGTTCTGGCGTGACTTATGCTCCTGCTTTACATTGTGCTCTTATGCCCCACCCCATCCCTTTTTCCTCCTCAGGTCTGCAGATGTTTTCATGCTTTGGGCCCCAACACACTCGCAAGCTTCCCCTCTTTTTTCACGTTCCTGCAATCTGAATTCTTATGCATTTCTACAGTTCCACTAACTAACGTTTCTGTCCCGTCATCCTAGTTTTTCCCTGCCTGTCATTTTTCTGTCACTATTCTACCTCTTCCGTCTTCTTTGCCCACTGTAGGAACTGACTGATCCAAGAAATGGTAGAGGAGTAGGAATGACAGTATTAGTTGCCTGGTGGGTATTTTAAAACTGATCATAACCTCTTAAGATGTCAAGGTTGACACCATTGAGAATGCTGCATTAGAAACTTGATGATGTCACCTGACTCCTGTCCTGTGGTTCTAAGCCATAAATTGTTCTGTTCAGTGTGGTCATTCTACATACTGTGTTTGTGTAATATACTCTCAATGTATCAATCATCCATGCATACATGAAGGCAAGCAGAGGAAGATGATTCAATATAATAGACAAATGAGTGAATGAAGAAGGAAGAGGCAAGATTAAGTAATAATCCTGGGGGAGACGAAACATGGGCTACAACATTTTTTCCTGGATGTGTATGCAGGCAAACTGAAACATAACAAAACCAAACAAAGCTCTGGAGCCTATGCAATAGCAAGTAAGATTATAGTAAGTAGGTCTTGTAATGCAAGGAATAGTAGTATGGTGTAGGGAGTCTTGGAGCTATTGGACGTTAGGGAATCAGAGTTGAAATTTTATATTAAGCTATTGGAAGTTAGGGAATCAGAGTTGAAATTATATATGGAGTACATGAGGACATTGATGGAGATGGAAACAGTTTGAAAGGTAGAGAGATTACACAAGACTGGCACTAGTGAAGAAACAATAACTTGATGCTATTTAGAGAAGAGTATTTGCCAAAATGAATGAAAAAATGGTTCTGATGAAATAATGAACTTAAGTGATAAAGTAGGAACATGGTAGAAAGCAAGAGTATCTGCTGAAGGAGAGGAGCATAAGAGTAGATATAATTAGTATCTTGCACTGTAAAATTTATTTCTTTGTCCTCTTGTCCTATTAACTTAATTGAAATGATAGACAAAACATGAAAAATAGAAGTGGTACTAATCATGCCTCCTCCCAAAATATTAATCATATAAAAAGGGGAATTATGATTTAATGGTTCAGGATGGATTAAAGAGACTTCAATTGTTTGTTTCAGATTTGTGTGTTGGTGTGTTTGAAAGAGCAACTGAATGCATAATGGGAGATGATGGCAAGGCTGTTGGCTCGGCTGCGAGCCATAAGCAGGGTGCAGCAATAGTTTATTTGAACAGGTCTAAAAAAGCAGACCACTAATTAGTAGTAAAATTTTTCAATGCTATGGGCAAACAATTTTAATGGACTACCAATCAGATATGACTTCATCTTCACCTGGGATGGACAGAAGTTAACAAAAGGAAATTACATTAGGAGCCATTGAATCCAATATTGGTCTTTGAGAGATTTGAGTTTAGATTTCATCATTGAAGGTCTTTTGAGTTTAGATAAAAATAAAAGCAAGAGGGCAGAGGAAGGTACAAGATCAGCATATAGAAAAGTGTAGTGTTAAAATATAGGGACCTTTTGAAGAGTACTGTGGAAGACAAATTTGTGAAAGTTGCCAATAGATTCATTCCAACACCATGGGATGTGAGAGTACAACACACTATCAGTCCATGGTGTAACGGCCAGCGTCATGGGGCAAGAAAGAAATGCTGAAGAATTTTGAAGAGGTACATGAACTGGAATGCATGTGAGAATTGGAAGAGAAGCAATGCAAAAATGACATATCCAGAGCTAAAGAACAACCAAAACATCATATACAGCTAAATCAGGAGGAAAATGTAAATGAATAAAGTTAACTACACTAACAATCATTAGCATAAGAAATATTGTCATGGAAAATATCAAAAGTTTATATGGGTGAAATTTGTGAATTTGTACGACTTTACATCCTCGGCTGACAATCGAGGGACCTGGGTTCAAACCTTTGGCAAGACAAATGGTTGGGTACTCACCTGATGCTTTTGTTCACCTGGCGGTAGAATAGTTACCAAATAATGTCAATTATGGGTTGCATCCTGGGGGAGGTCAGGTCTGTTGGTGGCCTATGGGGAACCTGGATATGCCTAAATACAGGCTGCCTGTCCCTGACAACAGGAATTATGTGCCAATGATTATTTGTTATTGTAATTGACTCATATAGTGCTCTCATGACCTGGAAGTCTTAAAACCTTCTCATCCTCTGATGGTGGAAATTCATGTTTTCTTATTTTAGCAGATACAAGACAACTGGGTATTGCTGGGGTCCCAGCCGTATTGTTTCCTAAAGTGACCTAATAGATGTGACTGCTAGATAGGCATTTGTGCTTGTTATTTCTCCTAGTAGCAAATTCTTTACTTGAATTGCTATCCTGTCACTCGTAGCTCAATCTACAACCATTTGAGATGGATGGTTATCTTCAGGCAGCCTGCACTGTATAGGGGTATTGCATTATGCAGGCAAAATGTACTTTATCTGTGGCTGCACAAACATGTTATATATGGGTCTCTTGCAAGCCATAGGAAGTCCTCTTAACAATGAGCAGAATGCAATACAGTACACACACCATGCTTGTTTCCAGAGGTGCAAA